GTTTTCGTATTAAATAAAGACCAATTACTATCACCATCAGACTCAGACGTATAAAACAGATAAAGAAGAAGCTGAATATAAATATGTATATTTTTACGACCAAAAACGCAACATTTATAACTTTTTGTCTTAAGTTTCATCCAAATTAATCAAAGTTTAATTCAAAATTAAACTTTAACCACATATATCTTAGAAAATATGGCTTCCGTCGTCACTGGTTGACTTTTAATGAACAACCTGAAGATTTGTTTGATCTTTTTGTCTTGAATTTAGCAATAATTGAGATCAATCTTAGTATATTACTGGGTTTAACATACAAACTACCAAACATATATACCAAAGCATATCAGAACATGAAATGTCCTTGCTCCATACAAATTGTACCCAAGACTATTTTGAAAGTCAACAGTAATGATGTATTAAGTACATTTACTAAAAAAATTCTAATGTCATAAAAGAGAATTGTCTAATTTTGTAAATACTAATAGAAATGATAAAAGTAATAGGAAAATGTGTACTTAGTTATTGAGGTGATAAAATTCGGCATATACACTGTTTGGTGAAAATTTAGACCACGGTAACTTTTTAGAGTTGCTTTTACTTCTTAGCAAATTCAATCCTTTACTAAAATCACATATTGATGAGGTAGTTTCTAAAAGCAAAGACCGCCATGAAGTACTTAGTAATAGCAGAGGACGAGGAAAGTTGGTTATATTTTTTTTTCCAGAAGGTACAGCTAATTCTGTTATGGGCGCAATAACAGTGTTTTGAAACTAATGTTGAGCGATGAACTTAGGGAAGCACAAATTGATAGAATCCAAGATATCAATGTACAAGACCAATGCTCAGATGTTTAACAAGTACCATACATGAACGTTTGTTAACTGTTATAAATTGTACGTCAAATACTGAAAAATGGTTTTGTAATTTGGTGTGTGATCTATTTAAAAGTTTAGAGATTGGTGTGTTCAAATGTATTTAGAATACAACTGATGGGACATCTAACATGCAAGGGCAGTACAATGGCTTTAGTGCATGGCTAAATATAGTTTCACCAGTTCAAATTCATGTGTGGTGTTATGCACATATTTTAAATTTATTAATATACGACGTCACACAAAGTAATATCGTTATTTGGAGTCTTAAACACGTGTGCCGTTTTCCTCTGAGAGTCCTATTTACGTTTGAACATATAGCGAGAGTGAGTGAGTTTATCTTATTGGTGAAACACGCTGGTGGTCGAAAGATAAAGCTCTAAGTAAAGTCTTCGGTAAATACAACAGCACTACTGCAACATTATTTTACATTGATATGTTACAGACGTTCTATGAGATTTCCATATCAAAGAAAATCAATAGCGATGCACATGTCAGAGCCAAAACTCTTTTAGACACTTTAACAAACTTTGAAACATCAATTACAGCAAAGTTGTTATTAAAACTTTTGAACATACATCTCCACTGTCTTTATATTTGCAATCGAGTGGCATCAATGTACTCCAAGCTTACAGAATAGTCGAAACTACTATTAATGATCCAAGTAAAATATCTCGAGATTTTGATGACAGCTAAATATTTTGCAGCAACGGCGAATAACGAAATATAAAACAGAAATTTGGATATAAAGATTGAGATTGATTTCAAGGAAAAGAATTCAAAGTAAGAAGTGACTTGTTGGTGAAGTCGGTTCCAATGAACTAATGGAAAATGAGAAAGACAAGTATCATGTATACGCACATACCCAGCAATGGACCAAGTTATTAATAACTTAAGACAATGGCTTTCTCAGCATGGAAGACTATACAAAGACCTTTCATGTTTGGATCCGAATAATGTTATTCAAATTTTGACAAACCTACCTGAAAATGCTTTGCAGAATTTAAGTGTGCTTCTAAGAAAATTTAATGACAGTATAACAAAAGACCAACTACAAATCGAATTATTAGATTTCGCCAGAAAATGAGAAACATTCAAAAGAACATTAACCGACGAATATACTATAATTTTCAAAAACAAAAAAAGTTTAAGCTGCAAAACATGTAGAAAATGTGTTATTTGCTGTAAAATGTCTTATTAAAATTTAAGTTACACAGTTTATCCTATTCAAATTTATTTCTTGTATATAAGTTCGTGTGAACAATGTTGTCGACACAAGTTACCTGTGAACGATCGTTTTCTAAATTTAAATATATTTTAAACAGATTGCAAAATTGTATGACTTAGTCACATGTAGAATCGTTTATACTCGTATAACGGCCTGGCATAGTCAGGTGGTTAGGGTGCTCGACTCGCAATCATGGGGTCGCGGGTTCGAATCCCCGTCACACCAAACACGCTCTCCTTTTCAGCCGTGAGAGCGCTATAACGTTGGTAAAATAGTAGCCCAAGAGTCTAGATGCCTTCCCTCCAGTTTTACACTACTAAATTAGGGACGGCTAGCGCGAAATCCATAACATACATACTTATACTAGTACAGTAAAAATCAATACAACACTATTATTGATATAATAGCTTTTATTACAATAACAAAATGTTAGAGTTAAGATGGTTTGTTATATTAATTTATTTTTTGTTATTTTACAGTTTTATGTTTGTAACAACA